TATAGCGGAAATCCCTCGATAAATTTTGATTCCAGGATCAGAAAACAATCAAGTGAACACCGATTTACCTTGACTTGACCGAAGACTTTCGCCTTCACTTTGGACTGCTTTCTTTCTCTCTAGCCCCACAAAGGAGAAAGGTGGTGGTGTTAGCAATCCACAAAGGTATGGAGAGGAAGAAGGAGATATCACAATGGTTGAATCTTACACACAACCTCACATGACTTCTCTCTTTCTCGGCTGCCTCTCTTCTCTCAATTCTCCTCTCCATTGTTACAACACACACACACACACCAAACGGGTGGGAGATAGATACATATATATAGGTTAGTTTAGATCACCAAATATGGGCCAAGAGATCTCTAAGTGGGCTGCCATATAACCTAAACTAATGGGTCAATTTTCAACTCCATATTAATCTCTAAATGGTCCAACTAACCAAATAATCCTTCAAACCAAACTCGAGCCATCCAAAAGTGTAGTTCGTCTTCGAGCTGAGCCAAGTCCATGGTGTCGATAAATAATCCAACAACTGATTTAAATCATCGCCCGGATTATTGGGTATCAAAAAACCTAACAATCTCCACCTTGACGCCCAATAATCAGCAAGTAACCAAAACACACAGTTTATACTTGCACAATCAAGGTAATCCAATAAAATTGGAATAAGAGACCTTACCTCGTGTTTTGAACCGAAACATATACCATACTTGCTCCATATACTCACCAGGGCTAAGGTCAAGAACACCCAAGTAGAAACAAGTATTCACAGTGAACAAACAATCATGCGATGAAGATATATAGGATAACATACACAGAGATCTTTCCAAATCACATTCACACAGAACCACAAATTAACACCTAGTTAATCAATACACAGTCATGCACATATGCAACAAATGCAAAAATGACCCATGAAAGATCTCACTACACTTATCCTAATCCCATTTCGTGTTACTCCCACCTCGAGAACACATATCTCCTTTCATCGCCCACCATGCTCACTAAACTAATCACTCAACTCATGTCTAACTGGCATGTCACAATAGATCCTAAATTCAGGGATAATCCTCTATCACCACATCACTTTTTCCAACTTACGTGGATGATGGGACTCCACCTTACAGAAGTGATAGAAGTGTCTCTCTCGCACTCCACCTGTACAGGGTCTCTTTCACTAATAAAGGATTCTACAAATTTGATCACATCTCCACTCGTGATCCAAATGTCACACTCTACATCCCCCGGTACAAAACACCATGTACCCTTAGGCATCTATACTCCACCTTACCAAAAGACATCCAACTCACTACTAATGCATCCCAAACTTACTATGGCAAATCAAAACCTTTCGATGACCACAAAGGTTACTCCAATCACCAAAGCTCCAAAAATCCACAAAGAAAATGGTGAGGGTGGCACTCACAAAGAAAAATTGAAGAAAGAGCCGATTACTTCACAACACTTACAAAGGAGGCTCACAAAGATAAAGGAGAGAAACAGCTGCTCAACTTTCTTCTCACTACCACACTCTCACACCACTCACAGAGGAAACATAGTACACCACAAAACTCAACCCACTATGCATGTAAATATATTACACAAAGTAATAAGTCACTCTAATTCATGCAATTACACATATCAAATATATTGAAAGTGTAACATCAACATTGCAATAGAATTAAGTGACCACATACATGCAGAAAGGATTACACACTGATGCAATGTAGGTTTATTCTCTCAATAAACCTCACTAGGATCGCTACTCGACCCTAAAGTCACATTCGCCTCATCTCTGTTGTCATCTTTCCTTTTATTATCATTTTAGAACAATCTCTTTCAATTATGTCTACCACAGTTAAAGCATATTTTATTTTTCGTACTTGCCTTAGAACTATCCATGCCAATTATACCAAATAATAACCACAAGCAAAGTATTGACATATAATTCACATAGAATAGTCAAGTAAACTTTCCTAAGGTCACATGCAATTCTATCGGTGTAGAAAAAATTGGTGACAAATTCGCATTAAATTTAAGACAATTGATTAACATGTAATTCCCAGGTCTACCAACAGGCAATGGTTACTCCAAACCTAACGTCACCCCACACGATCACTTCTAACGCGAAAAATAAATAATTAACCTACACATTAATTTTAACTGCAATAATAAAAAGCAAAGAATACGATATCGAGCGGACCACGTCTGAAGGTCCGTAAATATCGAGACATGAGAATTCATCACTTTAGGAATCACTGTTCATCCTAAAGTCAACAGCAACCACAACAACACGAAAACAACACCCGGCACTTGAACGTCCAAGGGCAAAATCGTCCAACTTTCACTGTATTGCTCCAAACTGAAATTCGACAACACCGTAGGGTCCGTCTCATCTCTAGCAACATTCTGTCTGAAACACCATCACCGGATTCCGATCGATGCGCCCTCACGTGCCACGTCGAAATTCCCATGTGCCGGCGATGTCCCAACCTGTACAGTCCACTGGTGGTATCCGTTTCTCTAAATTGTTTTTTGGTTTCACCAGAAAACACCAAAACAGATCCGGCAGAAAATTGAAAAATTGGACAGTTTCTGCCACTGATTTCCAGATCCGTTTCTGACCACTTCCAGCCCGTTTTAGCCCCAAAAATCACAAATTTATCAACAACACAAGCTCTGATACCATTTGTAGCAGAAATCCCTCGATAAATTTTGATTCCGGGCTCAGAAAATAATCAAACGAACACCGATTTACCTTAACTCGATCCGAGACTTTTGCCTTCACTTTGGACTGCTCTCTATCTCTCTAACCCCACAAAGGAGAAGGGTGGTGGTGTTAGCAATTCAGAATGGTATGGAGAGGAAGAAGGAGATACCACAATGGTTGAATCTTACTCACAACTTCACATGGCTTCCCTCTCTCTTGGCTACCTCTCTTCTCTCAACTCTCCTCTCCATTGCTACAACACACACACACCAAGCTGGTGGGAGATAGATACATATGTATATGTTAGTTTAGATCACCAAATATGGGCCAAGAGATCTCTAAGTGGGCTGCCATATAACCTAAACTAATGGGCCAATTTCCAACTCCATATTAATCACTAAATGGTCCAACTAACCAAATAATCATTCAATCCAAACCCGAGCCATCCAAAAGTGTAGTTCGTCTCTGAATCGAGCCAAGTCCATGGTGTCGATAAATAATCCGATAACTGTTTTAAATTATCGCCCGAATTATTGGGTATCAAAAAACCCAACAATATATATTATATTCCTCGTGGAATAGGATCTTAAAAGGATAAATTAACAATAAAATCATAGTTATATAGATTAAAAACTTGAGAGAGTTATTTAAATTTCGATTGAGAGTATCATATCTCATAAAACAATTTTAGTTTCTTGATATATTTAAATTCTTCTCCTCTTTCATATAAATCTTGGTGTTCTTGCGTGATCCATTATTTTTCATATTGCTCTTATTTTCTCGTCTTTAATTTATCTTTACGATTCCATATGATTCATCAAGAACTATACAAGTTGAGTTTTGATGAGAAAAAATTCTGATACATGCTTGAATGGAAAAATAAAATTATATGAAAATATATATTGTCTATTGCCTGCTGTTGAATTTTCTGAACAATCTTTTTCTTGTTGGAACCAGAATCTAAAACTATGGTTTCTATAATCCTCTTGGCCGCATTGTTAATTTGGGACATCTTCATCTCTGCTACTCTGGGACGTGGAGTCGGGCCAGTCGGCGACCCATTACCACTGTTATGTCCAACTGGTAAACTGCTAACAGATCGTGTAATTATGCATCGGGTGTGCATGTCCATTTTTTGGTTCTTTGGTTCAAAAATCTCCCTCGAAGTTGTATCGTCACGATTCGTCTGCTTCTTGGAGGAACTCTTTCGTGGTTGGCAATTCGCTGTTTCTATAACAGCTTGTTTACAGCTCCTACTGTAGTGAATAGTCGACAGAGCTGTAGATGTAAGAATAGGAAGGTGAAGGTAAACACTTCAGAAGATCTTTTTATAGAGATTCATAGGCACAAAATGATTTGTCAAGGCAAGATTTCAGTGGATATTTTGTCATAAATACGAATTTGGAGAGAACGGTATTCTGGATGTAATATCTTCAGTTACAACGATTTAGGAGGGTATTGAAAGAGAGAACTATCGATATAATTTAGGGTTTCGATTATGAGTGATAGACCATGATTTGGGAGTGGATGAATGGAGATGAAGGGACGAGGTAAAAGAGAAATCTGATTTGGGAAAGAAATGATATAGAGTTATTTGTACATGAATTTGGGATTTGATAAAATTCATCATGATTTAATTGTTGATAAAGTAAGACCCGCTAATTAATTGCATGATAACAAGGAGTACAACACCAACTAGGTATATCTCAAATGCATGTTTCATTGATGCATCTTCTTCTGTCAATGTCAAAAATGAGTGGAATATTGTAAATGTCGATTAAAAGGGCCAAAAAGTTTCATTCCAAAATAGAACTTCTGACATTGGATTCCACGAACATTAGCTCGTCTATATTAGGAGTGATAGAAGCTCGCTCTGATATCAACTGATGTAGGCAAAAGCATAAAAAATAATGAAACGAACATGCTATTGAAGTTTTTTTATTCTAATTTTTGTTGATTCCCAAAATTACCAGAAATATGGGTATCAAATAGCGAGATTAAAAGATTCGACAGCTCCAAAATCTATAATATTTATTACAAAATAACTAATTTTCATGATAGCTTTCAACCCTTATTTAAAGAAATAACTAAAATCTATATAGTTATTAAATGTAAAAGATAATGACAAAAATTTAAAACCCTAATATTCAGAATTAATTAGAAATAAATGAAATTAAAATTGAATTTATTTAATAAAATAAATAATAAAAAACTCAATTTTCTTCAAACGGGTTCAAATAATAATGCTAAGATGCGATCTTTAGTTTCATGATTTTGAATGCCATGCCCATCCCCATACTGGTACATGTATTGTGCCATTCTCGCAAGATTCATTGCAATTTCAATAAAAGTTTTTGAGAATGGACAAATTGTTTCTTGAACTTGGTTCATTTTTTTCCACGTCTCACGTATCAAAGATATAATGTGTTCACGTGCCTCGTCTTCAGAAGCCCCAGTTTCGTTCATGTAACATTGTATTGTTTTAGGAACATCACCTCTTTTCATTTCATCCTCAGAGAGAAAACGAAATAAACTGTCAGTTGAAAGGGTTAATTTTGAATTGCTAATGATTTCATAAACAAGAATGAACTTGAAAACATGAAATGATATTTTAGTCTATATGCACGCCATTGATGTAACTAAATCATCTGAAAGACGTAAAATCGTTGCTGACCAATGGATTAAATCGGGATAATCAAGCAAGTACTGAACAGCTTCCTTCTCTATAGGACTGGTAACAGTGAAAAACGCATGGGATAGTATGACATGAGTTGATATTGAAATCCATGCAATGTTCATATACTCTTCCATTGTTGGTTTGTATCCATTGAAGTACCACCTTGCCTCTTGTAAGTATGCTTTAAATCTGTCCACTGCCAAATTTGACAAGATTACTGACGCCGGGTAGGATAATAATTATCCTATTGGTTTGTTGTAGCGATGATTCGCAAGAAAAGAACGATAGAAAACCTCCAAAAAATAGAGAAAAGACTCTGAATTCAACTCAATATTATTAATAATGCAGAATGCTGAAAACTGACCCACAAGTCGGGTTAAATTGCTGCGAAATATGAAATTATGGAAAAATTATCAAAAATGGCAAAATCCCGAAATTATACCAAAATAAAATATTAAGTAAAAGAAGTAAGTTGCCAAAAATTTGGTTTAATTCGAGTTCTCTAACATATAGAAAAAAGGAAACTAAATATTACCATAAATAGTAAAAAATAACTTAAAATTGAAGTTTGGAAATGAAAACAGTGGATTTTGGGCTTGAAATTGACATCCACCGAGCAAAGCTCGGTGGCCACGACGTGCACGCTGAAGAGAGCTTTCCGGATTGGGGTCATAATAGCGATTCCGATAACCGTAGCCAAAGTTATGGCCAAATTACCAAAGACGCGTCAAATTCCCCCAATTAAGGAAATAATGGTGATTCACTTTCCATCTTTGCGCCGATCCGCCATCTCATGGTATCTCAGCGCTATCATCGTTCTATCTAACAAATCAGCATCACTCGACTCGGATCCTCCTACATCATTACTGTATATGGATTATGGAAACTGATATAAGGATTATGTATTAGAGACTTTCTGAAGCAAAAGTGATACCGCTTTCTTTAAATATGGAATTATTATAAACCCTTTTTCTTTAAGAATGTCGTAAGCCATTTCATTGACGAAATTATTGAGGGCTAGATAGCAAATTTGCATGTAATCTGGAAGTTGATGGATTGAATTGAGATCCCATCTGTGGAGTTCCAAACAAATAATAATTATAGGAGTTAGAACGGCGAGAAGGAAAAAAAATAAAAATCAATATATAACACTTATGGGAAAATTTTACTCTAAACTACCAATCTAATTTTCCAAAATTTGGTCCTCAACTTTAAAGAAGAGCAAGTTCGTACATTACATTTTATTATTGTTTCGCAACTGGTCGCCCACTAATGAAAACCATAGTTTTCATTGAATTGTCCTGTGGCCCTCATAAAAACATGCATCGCTTTAAATATCAACGTACCAATCCATGTTAGAAAACAAAACCTAATTTCATGAAGTTGATTATGCAAGGACCACATTTTGATTAATTTAAAATAGATTTGAACTGTTTCTTGAGATATAATCTTGCAACTATAAATAAAATTAATAACCAGCTTGTCCATTTTTAAAGATTGAATAAGTCAATCATTCAATTTTCCCTATCACATAAACCTTTTAATATACAAAGTACTTTCGTATTCACAAACTTTGAGTGTGTCCTTTAACAAAGGGACTTCGTTTTTAATTGTTACTTTTTTATTTGGGTGGGGGTTCTGAAATGAGGAATAAGGATGTTTCTAACCTTTCAATGATTCTTGTAAAAACTTCAAGCTCTTCTAATGTACCATAGACGTCATACATATCATCAATGGTTGTTACTAAAGCATTGACCTTCGTCAATATCTTCCTACAAAATTCATATTGAGGTTCAAATATCACCCCAGTAGTCCAAAAGAAACATTCCACCAGCCTAACCCTCGCAAATGACAACTTTTCGGCAAGGCAAGTTCCCTTCCACCACTTATTCATAGAAAACGCAGGGGTGGAAAAATAAAAAAATAAAAATAAAATTCCTTTGTTACTTCTAAACATCAAAATTCAATATATTTGGCCCATGTATTTAAAATGAGAAAAAAGAGATAGAAATGTGCACAAATGTATTAGTGTAGGAATTAATACACATTTTCTCCAACCGTAATAAAAGTAAATAGTGGTAAAGTGAAAGGCAAATTTGTTGAGGAGAGACTATTTCCCTCCATCAAATTCCTTAAAGACAACTTGTGATGTCGATTTATTTTTGAGTGAATACAGCATCTTATCAATAAATACCTAGAGATATGTTTTAGTTCCTGCTGATATTTTGCTTGAACAATGTTGAAATCCAATTTAGCAAGCTCAAGCAGAATCTGATTCATGTCTGGCCTGTCCTTGTATATGTTTATGAACCATCTAGCCTCTGCCCGCGGTATGGTCCAGTGCAATGGAAGCTCCAAGCCATGGTGCACCAATCGAGAATGGAACTGATCAATACTAGTTTGATCATTAAGGTGTTTCATAGAGAATTCTGTAGCCATTTCTAGGGTACTTTCACCTTCCATTGAAAGGAATGAAGTTTCGTATAGTTGTAACAATCCCTCTATATCATCACAAAGCCTCGACTTGAACTCACCCTTCTCATTCTTGAAACGATCAAATATCTGTGTTCAACAGGACATGTATAAGACGTGTAAGCACGAAAAAATGAATGAAAATGAACAGAAGAAACTGATTTGCACCTTCAGAAACTTTAAAGCCATGTTGTCTTAGTAGTCTGAATTCCAAAGCCGTAGCATATAAATCCTCAATCTTTGACTGTTGATCATTTTTGCTATATTTTTTGTTAATGACTGACAAGATTTGCTTAATTTCATTCTCAAAATGGTAGGATATCCCCAGCCTTTGCAAATTCTCAATCAATTCCAACTGATCCAGTGGCTCTACTGTTTTATCAAGCATCATCTTCACTTGCATTTTCAGCCCAGAAGACCGTGTAGCGTATCTCTCTCCCTACATCATGCAAGAACAAAATCTGATTGCAAGAAAAAAGGAAGAATTTATTTTTTATGTAAATGATGAAAATTACTGCATATTCAATATCTAACGACTGAATATATTCGAAGTCCCATACTGAGGGTTTGTAGTTTCCTGATCGCCTAATGACAACCTGACTGCAAGGCCGCGTATTGGTTATAAAACTATGCTGATTAGCATTAGCAGCAGTAGTTGTACATAAAGCAAAACAGTGTTTTGGATTCTGTTTTTTTGAAGTGCGAATATAAATTGCCTTGAAAATGTTCAGGTTGAAGATAGTCATTGATCTTTGAGACTTGTCTAAGTTGTTCATAAAATATTATATTTGGTATGGTGGGCATGGCTTATTTATATTGACTTACTTAATTATCTGGAACTCAAATAGTAATTAGATAAGTTCATCAAGTATTGGCACCAACTCAAATAAAGTAGCCATAAAAATAGCACCCGTTTGGCCTCCATTTTTCCAAATTAAAATGGATGAAATATATATATATATATATATATATATATTGAAGATTGTGTTATTGAAAACAGGATAGAGGAAAATAAAATTTGATGTAGCCCATGTTTGAGCCACATTCTAGTAAAAAAATGCATTATTCATGTCAAATCAATGAGAAATGTGTAGTTAAAAAATAAGGAAAAGTTTTAGATTTGTATGTAATATTATTTTATTGAAGAATGTGTGATTGAAATGATGTTAAATCACTCTTGAAAATGTATTTTTTTTGAAAATAATGTGACTCAAACAAACCCTTAATATGGGTCAAATGGGGCTAAGTTGGTAATAGCAGTCAAGTAGTAATTAAGTAGGGACAAAATGTCTGATAAGGCTGAACGCAGATTGGAAATAATAATGCTTTCAATAATGCAAGCAAATAATTGCATTATGTTTGAAAAATTAATGACACGACTCGTCCCGAATCATTATAGTGGACCTGAAATGTGACGTGCACCGATGATAAATGCTGACTAGATGTCAAATCTATCACCAAAGCTGACTATGAGTTATTTCAAAAAATGCAACAAAATCAAATGCTTATGTAAAACATAATATGATGAGTCCAAATTATTTACTTTGTGCTTCATCAATATGAATTATAACACTGAACATGTCGTGTGGTTCTTATTTTGAAATCATTATGCTCTTCCAGTTAAAATGAATCAATTGCTACCTGTAGGAAAAATTACGGGAAAATATATGAGTTGATAGCTCAATGAGTGGAGAAGTTCGAAAATAAATATACTTTTTCAATTTTACATTTCTATTGAAAATCATATCATATCATTTGATAATTCACAGATAACATCATGTAATTATAACCAAAAAGTGAAATATTCACATAAGATCATAAAATATCATCTTAAAATCATGACATAAACATCAGCTGATAACTATGCTATAATCTCATCACATCAAACATGCTGAAAATCCATCAAAAATGTATTCTCTGACTGAAATATGTAATCCGCTCGGGCTAAAAACTTTCGCCATGGGCCTTTGGCTCCCTCCGTGAACGAAAGTCAGTCTCAAAAACCTCTCATAATCAATTCTAGAATATGGTCAAGGCCTCTCAGTGAACTATATGTACACGGTCGAGACCCCTTCATCCCTGATCCAAGACCCCTCAGTATAGTATAGAACACGGCCAAGGCCCCTTAATGAACTAGAAGAAATATATAATCACGGGTACTTTTCTAATCGATCTCAAAATCATATCTCATATTCCAATTCACAATATAACGTATACAATATTTGAAATGCCACATGTATAATAATAAAAGATATTTCCATAATAACCATGTAATTCGAACACATAATTGCATATAATTGCACATACTTTGACAATAAATTTAATTTATAAATATCTTAAAAATATTTATATTTTTTCACTCACAGAACTATGTTTGCAAAATTCACTGGGTTGGTAAGTTGTCTCGATGTCAATATGGCAGCTTGAAATATGATATAATTTTTAAATCAACAATTAATTATTTTAAGAAATTTCAATAATTAAATAGGTAATGCCCAAACTTAATCATTTCACGTTTAAGCGATTTACGCGGTCTCTTTAATCGCTAAAACTAGTTTTTCTTTCATCTTACTCAATTTCATAGTTTATCACACTTAACCCCTTAAAAAAAATTGAATTTAATCTAACAATCTAACAACTATAAAATCAAACATAATTTGACAATAAGTAACTTTTTACTTACTTTTCAAAAATGAAGAATTCAAGCCTAATAATGTAGACCACTTATTTTCTAATAACATAGGCGAACTTTCATATTTTTTTTCTTCGTTTTCCTTTCTCTTTTCTCTTCCATTTCTCTATGGTTCGTTTTCTCTCTCTGTGCGTGTTTTGTGTGCCTTTTTGTGTAATGGATTTGGATTACACATATATATAAATACAATGGGAATGGATTTGTTTTGGGCATAACTGCCTACAGTTTCCTTTTTCTATTTTTTTTCCTTTTTTTATAAAGTATTAAATTAAGGCATTTCAAATTTCACCCCATAACTATAATTACAATACAAGTCCCCAACCTTTATATAATTTAACATTTAGTCATCTTATTTACCATACTAGAAGCTAAATCCCAAAATTTATTTTTATATCATTTCGGGCCCTCTTAAGTACTAGCAATTTCAAATTTAAACCCCATGAAAATCATTCCTCCAACTTAAATCCTTATTTGGTTTTAACTTTGACTATATAATTCATTGACTTTGACTGTAATTGAGTGAGGTGTAACAATTATTGCTATCAATTTAATTAACTTACAAAAAATTTTCAAGCAACATAACATTAATGAAAATAATTCTCTTTCTCTATGTGTGTATATATATGCTCTTGTTTGAGCCCCATTTTGGGAGAAAGAATGAATTTTTGAATAATGTATTGATGAGAAATGTGTGACTAAAAACTAAGGAAAAGTTTTGAATTTGCGTGTACTATTATTTTATTGAAGAATGTGTGGTTGAAATAATGTCAAAATACCGTTGGAAAATATATTTTTCCAAAAGAATGGGACTCAAACAAGGCTTATATATTGCTTAAACATTTTCATAATTTGAAATCATCGTATAATTACATCATTATCAATATTACTAATAAAGCATCCTCAATATACACAATTGAGTAGAATATCCAATTCAATTGCATGATTCAAACTATGGATGTGGCCTTTAGGAGTATGGAGTTGATGTGGAGAAAAATGTGGTTGGTTGCCAGCGTCGATGCGGAAGACTCGAGTAGGAAAAGGCAGTTATTTGGTAAAAATAGTAAACCTAGCTATTTGGAAAAGAATGTGATTCGAGCCTTGAGAGACAAATTGGGAGGCGGTAAGTGGATGAAAAATGTCATCACTTACGATCAAAATGCTTACATAATTAGTGTTGTGTTAATTGACTTGTTATAGGTAGAGCTCCAAGATCGCCTTCATCCACTAGTATTTACTTTGATTAAATTCTTTTAGACTTTTTACATCTTTTAAGAATTTATGTTTAACTAAAACTCTAATATTCATAAAATATTTTCTTCAACTAAAGCTAAAACAAAAATGAAAGAGACACCAATAGAGTAAATATATAAAGACATAGCAATATATGAAGAATAATTTGAAAAAGTAATCATTGTCTTTTTATTGTGGGTTTGATGAATTTAGTATGTGAATGATTTTTTATTTGTGTTTAGGTTATCTGATAACTTGTCTTTTGAATTCAACCGGTATAAATAAGAAATTTCATTCCGAATTATTTGAGTTTTTTATTAGAAATATCTTTTCTTTTCTTGATTTTCTTAAATTGAAAATATTGATGGCTATATTTTTTGGTAGAATTATCAAAACAAGAATTTGAGCTTTTTGTTGGGATTATCTTTATTTTTTTCTTGATTTTCTTGAATTCAAACAATTGTGGCTAATTTGCTGGGATCTTCAAAAAAACTTGATAGTGTGGATATATAATTTTTAAATGAATGGATTGTGATGTGGATGAAAATGACATTTTTTAAAATTTTTAAAATTTAATAGGAATGAATATAGAGTGAGATAGATATATAACAATGGTGGATACAAATAACAACTCCCTTTGTTCTTGATTCCCCCACAGTCAATAAAAGCTATTGGGTTTGACCCAAATTTTTTTTATTATATTATGGTTTAGGGGTAGAGTGAGATACAAAAAGAGAGTCCGAGAAAGAAAAAGAGACTATCTGGTTATGAACAATATGATTTTATTTATAATGATGAATTATGTATGACGAATGTTATTAATCGTCGCAAGAAAATGATATGATACAAAGAAGTATGAGACTTAAGAAATTTGCACAAATGATCCTTTAAGGGCATAATTTATTTTTATTAAAGTAGATATACTTTTAACTATCGGAATGGATAGAAACAATAGGAAACGGCCCCCCTTTTTTTGCGAGCAAAATCAATATGTTGAGGGAGTCAATGCCATAATTGTAACATTAGGGACCATTTATGCCAATTCCTTGTTAATAAATACTCCACTTTTGGGGTCCTTTGAAGGAAGGAAAAAAAAAAAAAAAAAAAACCCTATCTCCCTTAAAGATAGACTTCATTTTCTTTTTTGTCAGTCCCAAATTACCAGCTACCTTCCTTGATGAAATTAAAGATATATTTTAATTTTCTAATATGCCATATTTTATGTATCTTGTTATCAATAAATATAAAACAAATACTATTTAAACTATTATTTAATATAGGAGTATATATAGAAAAATGTAACAAAATTTATATTTTCAATTATATTAATTACATTTTCTTAATATGTGTTAAAATATAGAGAAGTTTATTTTTATGGGATGGATGTAGTAAATAAGATGCACTGTGAAACAAGAAACCATGATGCTTGACAATGACAATCCGCAGTTACTTAATAGCCTCCAAACATTAAATAATCATATTTCATTAAATGAAAAATTGGTTTCTTAACTTGAACAATGGAACTGGACAAATTGATAAAAACTTAATGAAGTTGATATATATACTCAAGAAACAGTCCAGTTGGTAAAGACAATTTAATACTTGAATTGCTTAGTCCCCATTTGGGATAGATTGTTTTGGTGGAAATAATAGAAGGGGAAAAAAAAAAACTTACTATTAGATTAATATGTTTGTTTGATACGCTGAAGCAATCCACAAGTCGAAAGTTCAAGAATAGAATGCAATATTTTTAGTAATTGATTTCAAAATAATGGTAATCAATTCACTATATGATACAGATAATGAATATTTAAACATGAGTAT